TATATATATTATATATATATATATATATATATATATATATATATATATGTATGTATGTATGTATGTATACTGAATATATGTTTGAGTGTGTGTGTGTGTGATGTCTCGACATAGATTTTTTTGATTAGTCATACCCTCAGATTATAAGCTTTAACTACGGTAGCAAGTAAAAACGGTAGTGGCATCATCAAATCTCAAATCTAGGGCAGTGAATATGACGAAACGCAAACAAGTTTAGTCAAAATCAAAAACTTGGCATTCACATGACGCATCATTTAAAAATTTAGACATTGGAAAAATAAACACAAGTAATATAATTCATGCTGAATAAATTAAAAATTAGACAGGCTTTAATAATTTTGGAGATTACTGTATTTCCAAGATAATAAACTTCTTATAGTGACGTGCCCAGGGACCTAATTTAAAGCAGTGGTCCGAGGACTTCAAGTCATAAATTTTGTGAGCCAACATTTACAGTCATTACATTCTGAGTTTTCCATTATCCTGGCTGCTAATACAAGGGGTAGCACCAATTGCATTTCCTCGCGTTCACTCGTAGCGTTGACTGCGGTTATGGCTACTTAGCGTTTTAGGCCAATGTCACTAATGCTGATACGGCATTTTTTGTTTTCTTACAGTAATCACTATCCGTGTATCAACACAGCCAACGCCGACTCCTGCAGTCGTGTCGTCTGATTTTGAATCTGAGGTTGAGTCCTCTGATATTGAGAGTGAAGATGCAGCTGCATTACCAGTTGGTGGAACCACAGAACCGGAAAGCGACAGCAGCTCAAGCGAGGAGGAGGTATCTGATGTAGAAAGCGATCCTACAGAAGCACCAGATTCTGGGGATGCAACAACACCCGCACCTCTGGGAGGTATCGGTGGTGGGGCAGCGGGTGGAGAGTTGGCAGGAAGCAACAATGTCGCTGCCGAGAATGCAGCAGGCGATTCGTCAGGCGCTGTTTTTGGAATGAAGGCTAGCGATCAGGCAGTACAACCGGGTGGTTTCAGCGCAACTGCAGTCGGTGTAGCTACGACACTTGGTATCGTCGGTACTCTCGCGGCAGTGGCTGGAATCGTTGTTTACATTAAAAAAAAATAACTCTATAGACGTTAAACAAACATTATTTACGTTCCATTTTTATACGTTGTATTTAGATCTGAAATGCTCATAATGTTCGATTTAACGTTTGTAACTTGATATACAGGACTAGATTCAGCGTGACTTACTTCCATTGAAGATATTAGAATATAGTACTTGTTGACTTCAGGATAATGATCGTTGGCTGCAATAAAGTATTGTAAATATTAGCATTATTTTAGATGTAGATGAATATTCATTGTCACTTACATTGAGCAAATATGCTGCACTGAAATAATTTTGTTTTTACGTTGAATATATTGTAATATTAGCGTAATCATCAACATAAAAACTTATAGTTGTACCGTGTATGGGTAAATATTTTGTCAATAAATATATTTTGTGATGATTTTCTGTATTCTCGCAAATATTTGTTAGAAGAATCAATCTATTCATATTTATATAAATATATTTGTATATATAACTAAATAATTCTTATATATATATATATTATATATCTGTCTTACTATATAGTGTAAACACAATACAAATAGATAAATAATAATAACTGTGCACTAAACTGTCTTGCCAGCGGTAATGTTAAATTCAGGACATTAAAAAAGAGAAATTTTAATTGTAAAATAAATGGCACATTTTACATACGATGCATAATAATAATAATAATAATAATAATAATAAGAGTACGTTTTGTATAAATATTTAATATTAAAATAACGCTAAAAAGAAAAGATCGACGTTTCGATCTTTTCTTTTTAGCGTTATTTTTATATTAAATAATAATAATAATAATAATAATAATAATAATAATAATAATAATAATAATAATAATAATAATAATTCTTTATTTGTCCTCGTATATGTATGCCTACACACTGGGAAATTCGGGCTGGGTCCCCGGGGACCCGCGGCTGCCATAGCTCGGCGCCAACTACCCCACTTACTCTACAACATCAAACGGATACAGACTGATACATATATGGTCCTTAACTCGCCTAACTCTCCTGAGAGGGTTATTCGAGGAGCTGAGCGTTTTGTTATTATAAAATGCATGATGGGAAACCCTTAGTTTCTTCAGTCTTGACGTCACAAGTAGTGGCCTGAAAGCAGCTTATTAAATCAATAAGTTAACTTACTACTAAGTTAAATAATATGAGTCAAGTAAGTCATCTAAATTGAATTAGAATAATTGGTCAAAATTAAATTAATAAATAAGTTATCCATTAAACGAGATAATCTGTCATTTTAACCGTACCATTGCGTTGCTCGGTACTCCGAGATATAAAAAAAAAGTTTTCAAAGGGCCGGGCCTTTGAAAATCTGATAGATGATGTTCAATATAAAGTATCGGTAAATAAAATATATGAGAGGGGTCCAGGGACAAGTACTAGGCCCAATTTTTAAAAAGTTTACCTATTTTACACATTAAATCTAAATAATGTGGACTCTTTTTTAAAATGTGGACAAATTTCATGCATATAAACTGAAGAATGTGGACCAGTTTAAAAATTGGGGCCCACTATTTTACACCTAAAATAAAATTTTAAAAAAATGTGAACCAACATTTTAAAAAGAAGACCGGACTAGTTAAACAAAATTACCTATTTTATGTATAAAATCTAACTAATATGGACCCATCTTTTACAATTTGACCAATTTCATGCGTATAAACTTAATAATGTGCACCATCTTAAAAATTCGGACCCATTTGACACTTAAAATCTAACTAATGTGGACCAATCTTTTAAAATGTGGACCCATTTTATGCGTATAAACTGAACAATTTAAAACTTGGGAGCCATTATATTCGTACTTTTAACTGATGTGGACCCAAAAAAAGCAGCCTAATTAGACATTCTTTAATTCAAGCTTCTTAAAGGTTGTTGATAAATAATACGTAAAATATAAAAAGAGATTTTATTCCATATTTTTTCTCCTGCAATTCAATTCTTAATTTTTCCTAAAGTAATACAGGGGTTGGAATAAATAAGTTATTTAATACTGTTAAATTTTGTTATGAGTATTCAACAGTTAAAAAGTAACCAGTTAAAATGTTTTTAGTATTATCTAAAATGCAAATAATATAATTTGGTACTGTACATTTCATTTACCATCATGCTCTTTGTTGCATATTTTAGTACAATATTGGAATCGTTAAATAGGCCCATTCTACGGCTACATCCAATTGAATTTTTATGTAGTATGGCTGGACCATTAGCCTACCAATTTTAATGGTCTAAAAATAAACTTAATATATGACATGGCAGAACTATTATACAATCACAATCACGTGCATGAATTATACAATTTAATCTTAACTTCAAAATACCACCCATTCAAATGCACCTTTTCTTTACCTGTCAGATCCAAGTTTTACCTTGCTGGATCAACTGTTCAGTTACCGGATAGTCTCTGAAATTGACATGGTCTGTACATCTTTCTAAATTTTTCTCAAATAATTAATATAATTAAAATAAAATATACATATTAATATTTGTGAGTTTACAGAAAAATAGAAACAAATTTTGGTTGATACAGTTCAAGATCCCTTACTGCTGGCATTGGTGTTCATTGCATTATTTAATTTCAAATAAAATTTTAAAAACTTAAATAAAAATTTCAGAAACCAACTTTAAGTTTTAAAACATAGAAATTTACAATCTTTTTTTAAACATAATTTTGCTTAACACTCAAAATTATACTGTCCCCCAAAAGTGACAAAAAATAAAAATACAAAAAATAATCCTGCATTAAGCCCGCCCGCCCACTCCGCAGCAACACACAAACTACCATCACGAGGACAGAAATCATTGAATTTAAAAGTATGCGTACCCTGGTTGTTAAATTGGATAATTATAATAAGGAATAATAAAACTCTTCCAGTGACAGGAAGTATGTCTATCGCTTTTCGTTGTATAATTATGTGTCACACATTCCCTAAACAAACCAACCTCCATGCCCAAGCCAACAATCCCCAAGCTACCACAAAATGGGCAAGTCAATCCAACCTTAGTCTCCATGACCCCTTTTGAACAATACATACAACACATCCTTAAACATCGTCTTTTTAACAAACAGATTTATTATGCATGCTTTATAATCTATAATGATAATCACTTAAAAATGCAGACCTTCAAAATCTGCTACATAATTTAGATACATCCTCTATACAGCATTGATGCCGAAGCTTTAAGAGACTTTGTACCCTAAATGCATGACCGTGGCCTTAAGCGGCCTCTGTAGCCTCTGACCATTGTGAGGCAAATTAAGGGAAAATCCCGCCCACCATTCTCTCTACCGAAACTCTCATTTATTTTTAAAACAACGCTGATGATAATGATAAATAAAATGGTAATGACAATATATTAAAAATAATAATAATAATAATAATAATAATAATAATAATAATAATAATTATTATTATTATTATTATTATTATTATTATTATTATTATTATTATTATTATTAGTTGTCCATCAAGTCCGATGACGATGTCCGGTAAACCATTGATCCTTATCTGCTTCTGTGTCTGCTGTGGAGCTACCAGCTACCAACAGGTATCTTCTTATCCTTCAGATTTCTCTTAACAGTATCCTTAAATCTTTTTCTTGGTCTACCAATGCTACGGGAGCCGTCCTTCAGTTGTGAATAGAGTATTTGTTTAGGTAGTCTGTTATTATCCAATCTGTTGACATGACCAGCCGATCTCAGGTTTCTCTGGATCAAGAGTTCATACATACATAACTAACTAACATACATACTAACTAACTAACTAACTACATACTTGGTGGATTAGTCTTTGTCATTGTTCGGGACAAAATCCCACCATTTGACATTTGGGATTTGACGCAAGTGCCGCATCACGGGGACATATATTTTTCTCAAATATTGATTATCACCTTTAATATTAACACAAGTGGAGGTGTTTCTTCATTCCCAATTACTTTCATATTATTAATGCTATAATTCAAATGTATGCAAAATAAGTTATTGATTGAAAACAATAAAATATTCTAATACGTTACACTTATTTACTTCATGGTACAGTAGTCCGCTGATGAATAGGCCTACCTCGTATTAAAACGTGCCTTGTGAAATAAATGAAATATTACATTCCTTTCTGTATCCTGACTTCCTTTACTAGTTTTTGAGGATTTAAATTTCTTTTTCTTCTTTTGTTTCCCAATTTTTCTTTTGCTTTCTCTCGGTATTTTGTTCGTTGCTTTCCTGGTCCATCTGCTGTTCACTATTCTAGAATTATATTGAACCCATCTCCACTTTTCTGCACCTACACTTAGATTTACTCGGATACTATAAAGAACCTAAATCTTCGTATATCATTTTAAAACAGACGATGAACATAGTACTCCTATTTATTATTCATTCATTGTTACAAACATGTTCGGAAAAAAAAAAAAAATCCAACAAACCAACATGTTCGGAATATTGTTTAAGCAATTTTTGTCAAGAAATAATGAAGAAAGTGAACATGCACAGTATCAATTCTATTAATAGTTTACAGTTTTCTTCTGAATGTACATGCCCATTACGCATAAGGGTAAACAGCTTAATGTCCTCTCTAAAGTGTGAAATAATTAGATTAAAGTATCACAATATAAGAATGACTAAAGGGTATCGAACAACGGACATCCGCCCCAAAGTTTAATCCATTACCCCTGTATCATAGCAACGAAACTTGGCAAAGATTTGTTATTTAATCACTGGGTTTCATTCCATTACGAAAAGATGAATCAAATTGAGGAAACATATTTTGGTGTCAGAGGTGAGGGAAAGTACATTCACATTGTGCGATAGATAGATATAAATGTCTATAAATAGACAGACACAACTTGGACATGATCTAAACAAACAAATGTAATAGTGGCTCTTTTAAGAGTGTACGTTAAGTTTCGTGACTCGACAATCAAACAGCTTGCAAGCGGGAAAAGGCTGGTTGCCCCCGGACGGTTGCCCCTGGACATTTTCCCTCGGACACTTCCCCCGGTATTTTCCTTGTGATGTATGTTCCCTAGGACAATTTCCTCCCCCCCCCCCGGACTTCTGTCACCCCTTTACATTATGATTTAAATAAAACAAGAATTTAAGTACAAGGAATTCATCATGGCCGCTCCGGTGTTTGTAGCTTTTTGTGATGTATTTTAATGTCTTTTTTGGCACAATTGAGTTCTTATTTTGTATCGTGATTTAACAAAATATGCGTAATTTTAATTAAGATAATACTTTGTTCGTCTGTAACTTAATTTTTTGTTCCACATTGTTTCATTTTTATTATATTATATTATATAAAACAAGTTAATAAAAAAAGTTTAAAACGTTCAATAAAAAGAATAACAAAAAAATGTTTGTACTCTTTTCTAATTGTTACTGTTGCATGGTATTATTGAAAAGATTACACAGAATTATGAAAGAAATTAAAAACAATAATGTCGGGGTCATTTCAATGTATTTTTAAAATCATGATAACATTCAAAACCAATTAATTCACATTAGGCTGTTCCTTCAGCTATACTGTATGCTATTATGTCCTGTAGCGTACTGAAAATGCTTTTTAAGGATTTTTTTTTCTCCCTTAAATGAATTTCTAGAGCAAAAATTCTCAAAAAGTAGCCAACAAGCCAAGCTGCAAGGTGCTGTAGCGCCCTAGGAAGGATTGGCAGGCGAGAAAACGAATTTCCAGAAGTTGTTGGTGGACGGAGCGAGGAATTTCAATCCGCAACTAGAACAGCGGTCCGGTTGTATATCCACACGAGGAGATGCAAGAGATTGAAATTACTACGCAGACTGCGCGGCATCTATTGGGGTGTACCTACGCCCATTGACACAAAGAGTTTTTCTGCTGATCTCGGAAAATGTATATGTCATGTTTCGATGAAGAAATATTTAAATTTTGGTGACCATCCAGAGTAGGGTGTGGATATGAGGACCATTTAAAGAAAAACGTCCCAGACCAGGTATTTCAAAACTAATCAACTGATAATAAATGATTGAAAGTTTCGTAAAAGCTTAAAAAAATTATGAAGTGTTAGTGAAGATCCAAATTCGGGTGTGCATTTAAGGGCGAAAAAGTCCGAGACATAACTATCTCGAAAATGGATCTTTGGATAAAAATGACAATTGGCAGAATAGTTTGTCATGTTTTAATAAAGAAATGTGTCAATTTTGTCCACGAACCCAAGTAGGCTGTGGATATGAGGACTATTTAAAGAATGAGTTTAGCGTATTACCGTAGGCAGAAACAATAGCATGTTCAGCCAGAAGATGTAAAGAATTGACAGGTGTACAACTGACAAATAAAATGCGCTGGAAAATAAAGTGTTTATATTTTGGTGCTATATTTGAATCATTCCAAGCAAAACGTCCCAGGTCAGATATCTCAAAAGCTAATCAACTCACCTAAAAGAAACGTTTGTGCTAGTGTAATTTTTTTAGAAGTAGATTGTAGTTGGTGGTTGGAAAGTGGGAACATAATTTTGAGGAATTATTTTATAGAAAGAGATTGGCGTTGGGCGAAGATATAAGTCAGAAGATGTAAGGAATTGGCAGGTATATAACTAATACTTTCAAAGGCATTTCCGGTTAGCTGGTTAGTGTATAATTATTTTTTAAGTAGGTGGTGACTTGAAACTAAGTGGGTTGTCACATTTTTAGATCCGATGAGGAACTCTAGAAGTACCCTTTATTTATTAATAGATTTTTTTGTGAAGTGCGCCACAAATACCCAGGACTGGACATACTGCTATTACTTCTAACATAGCACACGTCGTACAGATGGCGGGGTCGGTTAACGATGTGTCCAATGGGCCTAAAGGTCGTGAGTTCGAATCGCATATTAGTATTCAATATCAATTTTTTGAATATTTATTTTTTCCCAGAAATAGCCGTTGTTTTCTGCTCTATTATTTACAATTTTTATTCTTGTATCACCTTTTTCTATGTTTTTGCACAAGGGTTTTCTGACCGGTACTTTAGGGACTTTCCGTGTTCCTCAAACATGACGTCATTCTACACATACTAAACAAATAATAGCAGTCATAGTTCGAGTATTCCTGACGTTGAGAGGGTTAGAAGTAAGTAATTGGCAGGTATACAACTAATACAATAACAGGCCTAGGCTACTAGGGGTTCGTGTACATTTTTTAAGTAGTTGGCGGATGGAAAGAAAGCGGATTCTCACTTTTTTTACTGTTGCAGTAGTTGAAAATAAAATGTTTCACTATTATATGTATCTTGGATTCTGAGTTGAAAACATAACATGTGTAGTGACACAAGTAGGCTGACAGTGAATTTTGCTGAAATCATTTCGGATTACAAAATCTGAAAATGGCCACTCTAAACTAAAAGTGGAAATAGTGCCCTTTTCTGAAATAAAAAAAGTGTTAGGGCGAGTTACTGTGCGTTTTTGAAGAGGAGTCCAGAGAGAAGTGAGGTGAGGTGGGGTGGTATTGGTGGTGGTTGAAGTAAAATAGGAATATATTTTGGAAGATTCATTTTATAGAAAGAAATTTTGAGGTGGGCGGAGATATGCTCTCTACTGAGCAGTTCTTGTTCTTATTATTGTTATTATTACCATGAAATTATTATCCATACAGAATAAACAATGTTATTACATTTGCTCTTTATTATTATTATTATTATTATTATTTATTATCATTCAATTATGATATAACTCAATTGAAGACATGGATAATAAACATAAAAGACAATATACATACATTAAGCTTTTACTATTACACATTTTCTTTTATAAGAACACATTTATAATAACACTGAGGCTGAAATAATGCTTAAAAATTAAAAACAAAATAAAAATAGATTGAGGCTGAGGAAAATATCAAATTATTTTTTATTTTAAAAATATAGAAAAAAAACAGCAAATCTAATCCTTATTTGCAGTAGGTGTGACCACGGAGCAATAAAGTGACTATGTAGGCCCTAATAGCATGGAAAAATACGTTTCAAAGTAATACGCTATAATACAGTATATACTACTGTAAAATAAAAATTTTGTATGTTTGGAAAAGTGTGTAAAAATATGAATGAAATAAGAATATTTTAAGACTGAAATCGGCAAAAAATCAGAACACTGCTGAGCCTGAGCAAAAATTAGTCCTTAACAATCAGTCTTGCTATCTTATTGCACTAATGAATATCGTAGGAATAGGTACTTCCTTAAATTAAGTAAAATAAAAAACTTAAAATGTATTATAAATTAAATTGTATAATTGAGTTTATGAGATGCAAAGGGGGAGTGGAAATTCATGGGATGGGGGAAATTGTTCTAGAAGGGGAAAAGTGTCCGGAGAAAAATATTATGAGAGAAAATGTCCGGGGGAAAAATACAGGGTGTGGTTTTTTTTAAATACTTATATAACGCTTAACCTAAACCTTTTCATAAATTAAACTATTGTACTATATTGTTAGCAAGCAATAACAAAAAATGTTATTGTTTAAAATGAAATATTTTTACATTTATATCATCTTATAAATGTATACATGTTAAAAATCATTTCATGAACAAACAATTTGCAGTAAAAAAATAATGATATGTTGAAGTACTATTTAACCATTTCATTTCATGTAGCATGACAAAAATTGAATGTGGTATATTTCATTTATTTCATTGTTTCTATGAGAGTTAAATTAGAAACCAATAAGATAAAACACTAGAAAGAAAAATAAAACCCTTTTTAATTAAAAAATGAATTTTGGTGATTTCTGTAACGGTTGTAACATTTGTATGTCAAAAACTTTAGAATGGTTCAATATTAAAAAGAAACGAATGTGTTAATTTAAAATGTTTATCCAACTGATAAATGTATATAGTAAGCCAATATATATATATATATATATATATATATATATATATATATATAGGAAGTATATAAATGTATATATATAAATACATATATATATATATACAAATTGGTGATGTTGCATTTTATTTAGTTACATATATCATACCTTTTGTTACACAGAGTTTAGCTTAAATACTCTGTATTCAATTTTCCATGTAAATGTTAGAGACATAAAACCTACGTATACGCCTTTCATTTGTGTCAATGCGTCTGCATTGTTTTAATGTGAACCAAAATAACATTTACGAGCCTAAAATTACACATGAGACTCATCTATTAAAGGACCGGTATGAGATAAACGTTTAATATTGCCATCATTACTATTTCGGATTTCCTTGTTAAGTTTCTAAATAAAATTAAAAAAAAAAAAACCAAGGATGCCTTGTAGATGATACGAAATTAAAGTTTCCCTTTAATAGTGTTTTATGCACAAATATGTATTTATATGACATGGGTAAATTTTATACTGTCAAATAATAAATTGAAGTAGTAAGCGCGTAAAGTTCTGTCCTGATTTTATATTTTCTGTAACAAAAAATGTTGCATGCGCATTTAGTCATGATGTGCTTATATAGTACGATCATGATGTGACGTCAACATGACCATATTAAGGCATGTCACATAAAAGTTGACAGGGCTTAATTCTGGTAAAAGATAGTATAGGCCTATTATGTATATAATTCCAAGTTCAGGAGTTATTCGATAAATGATAATAGCGAGTACAATATCTTAATAATTTTAAAACAGAAAATTTTTGGACACCCAATAAGATAGTCGCAAATTATTCGCAGTTCTATGACGCACAAACGTTTCCTCTCTGAGCATAGCCCACGCAGACAACTGAAACTTTTTTCATTTAGTCGACATACTTACATTTTGATTTGGGAATCGGCAACAAAGTGTTCTTAAAAACAAATTACATTCGAAAATCTCAAAATCCAAAAGATAAAAAAAATGAAGTTGTTTCTCTATTTGACGATTATTGGAATATTTGGTAAGTACAATTTTTTTATGATAGGCCGTAAGCTAAAAAAGGCATCGAGTTAATATTATCAGAATAATATTTCTGTATACAATCTGTTCCCACAAATAGGGCCTATTATTTCATATATAACGAATGAAAATATATAGTTCTATTTAAGAGCCTGCGTAAAAACAATTACAGAAAGTATACAAACAAAGAGACAAATAATAATAACAACAGTGATCGAATATAGTCATATATAGTATATATTGATTTTAAAATGCAAATACAAAATCATAGCAGACAATAATCATCAATGCGTCAAATTGACCCAATAATTTTAATGACTCAACACAGTCGAGATTGCAGGTTAGGCCTAATTAAGGACGATGGACGATGATGCTGCAAGGATATGCGTAATTGCTTCGTTGAATCCCTGCAAAACGTGTATTTTGAGTATTTTGTCAACTTCTTTTTTACAGTATCAAGAACCAATTCACATAGAATTTTGAGACAGACATCAGAGAGTGAAGTGGAGGAAGTCGAATCTGAACCACAGGAAATGGAAGAGCAAGAATCCAGTGAGGCGGCGGAACCTTCGGAGATAGTAGAAGCAGAAATAGAGATAGATCAAGAGTCTTCTTCTTCAAGTGTTGGAAACAGGCTTAATGTGACGTCTTTGGCGACAGGTGGCGAGGTTGCACCTGGTGAGACAGTACTGTCTTCTTCAGTCGTCGTCGACTTAGAAAATGAATCAGAAGAGCCACTGGGTGCTGGTATGGCCAATCAAAACGCAATGGCTGGCGGTGATTCATCTCAAGAAGCTGGCGCTGCCCAAGTTGGTGCTAATCTTGGCGGTGTCGAAGGGTCCGAATTAGCTGGGGGAGACTCGTCTCAAGAGGTTGGAGGCACTGTCCAAGGTGGTGCTGGTCTTGGTGGTGTCCCAATTTCATCTGAAGAAGTTGTCGGTGGAGCAACGAACACTCAACCGATACCAACCCAATATATGCAAAGCACAGTGGTCAATGGTTTATCGACGGGCAGTCCACTGATAGTGGGCACCACAACCCCAAAGTTTAGCAATCGCGGAGATGCATTCATTGCTAACGCTGGTCCGCAAGAGGGCACTAAAAATCAGCTTGGAAGTGGGCCTACCGAGGACGAATCATCAATATCGCCTCAAAAAATTGGACTTATAGTTGGGGCTACTACGGCTGGCACAGTTGCTGTTGCTGCCGGTGTAGCGATTGCCTACGCAAAATTGAAAGCAGGGAGCACGGCCGCCGGTGCTGCATAAAAACGTTATCATAGCTGCTTATATAAGCCAGGCGCTGGAATGGACATTAATGTAACCCGTTGATATACAGTGTATTGACATTTAAATAAACAATCGCTACAGTGAAAATTATTAGCCAGACACCATACTACAAAGAACTACCGAGCTAGCACTATATTATGGGATATCAATTGTATGATAATAATATATAATATAATAATCTAATAATGATATTATAATAATATAATTATATATATATATATATATATATATATTACATATATAAACAAATAGATAAATAACAGAGCTCAAATAGGAACATAATGTTATAATCGTATTAAGCATATGAAAAAAGTGCCTCCGTTCAGAGACACCTGTTTTTATACAACTGAATTAAATAGGAACTTTTAGTTGAAGGGCTAGGCTTGATACGATTATACAGCACTGTTATGCACTAACCGCAGGCAGTGGACTTCGAAAAACGCGTTGCCTGAGGTGAAACTGCGGGCGGTGGACGCGGGAATAAACAGCCCGTATTACCCTCGGTCAAGATTTTCTTTAGATATTTTTTGCATGCTGTAATATACAGAATTGACAAATAAAGTATCAGAATGTAGGAAAACAATTTTAATCCATTTGAAAATTAGCTGAGAAGACAACGGACAGTTGTTGGAAATGAAACGCGTTGTTCGTAAGCAAAGCCGCGGTAAAAATGGCACTGCCGCGATCTGTACTGTATAACTATTACAATATACAATATCAAATTATATCATAGTTTTTAATATTATTGTATATATTTTAAAACAATACATAGATTGATGTAGGCCTCTTTATGTACTCCAACCCTAACATTAATGAATATATCACTCCGTTCCTCCTCCCTGAACAATTTTAATGTTACCCTTTAACTATATTACTCTATTTAAATTAACCTCTTCCCTAAAAGAATTAAATACAAATGTTTATCCTTCCTTTTAAACCTTTTCCCTTCTAAAAAAAACAAGATACAAAAGTAACAGTAGGCCTACAACTTCAACACAGTAATTCAGGTAAAAAAAAAAAAGAAGTCTTTGAGAATAGACTATTTGCATTTATGACAATCTGCAGATAAAATGTAATTGTCCTCATCATGTGTTTAATCTAGTAAAAGTGTTTTCATTAAAAAAAATAAATGATGTAGAAATGTCTCTTATTTATTAGTTGATAGAGTGTTTCGTTTCCATCAATATGTTCTTGTGTTAAGAATGAATTGACTGAAATTATTAAGTACTGTTGCTTTTATAAACATAGCCTAGTTATTTAAAGGGCAACTTGGGAAGGGCGACAAGTTGCATTCAGTTGCATTGCTATTAGACTGGATGTAACAGGATGTGTACACAATAACACCTGAATTTCAATAAATATTCAATAAAAAGAGAACAGACATTTTCTAGTGTGCATACCTCCAGCATACCCTCAATTAAATAATGGAATCGCCCGTCGTATTCAGGAGCGTACATAACTGTCTTGAGTGGTGTAGCTTCCCTCAAGAAAATAATTGAATCGCCGGTCATTTTCAGGCACATTGCTTTCTTAATTGCTGCCTGAATACGTGGTGCAATACCATTATTTTCTTTTATGAGCAAGATAAAATATCGAATTTCCGTACATTGACCTTGCTTTTCTTCTAAAAATTGTAGGGTGTTTTCCTTTGATTATAAGTACCATTCCACTACACTTTAAGATAATCCATTAATTAGTTTTTGCGTAACCTTGCTGACAGATATTTGACAGTCCTACAGCACAGCCCGACAGACAAACAACAGTTAATACACAACTAATTTGAAAAGTGTGTAAAATAAAAACAAAATAAGATCATTTTGAGCCTCAAATCGGTCGAAAAATAAGAACACTGAGCCAGGGAAAAATTTGACTAGTTCTGATTAAAAAGAAAATGTACGCTTTGTGTTCAGAGAGTGAGTGGGAGATCTCATTTGAGTGCCATATACATTTGGCAGTGCTTCCAAGAAAAAAAAAAGTTAATTTCCAGTCCCGAAAACATACAAAATACCAATAAGCTGCCTTTAATAGTTAGAGTTACTGTATAGGCGAACTGGGATCACTTTGAAAAACTTATTAAATGCGTCCCATCTGACATATTTCATGAAAGTAATATTTATACCATATGGAATGGTTGGGTTGACTCTATATCTGCTGCTATGCATCATTCCATTCCAAATATGCATAAGACTAAAGGAAAGAAATGGGTTACACCCGATCTTAGAAAACTCTGTACAAAGAAAAAAAAAAACTCTATAATAAGTATAAAATCTCTGTTCATGACCACGATTTAAGAAAATTATAGCAAATGAGCAATAAAGTTCAAGCTCTTTCTCGTCTTACATTTAAAGGGCATGTCAGAAGTCATACCCAGGATGACTCTTCACTCCCTTTAGTATTATATCCGCACAGTGAAGAAGCCTTCAGCGCCACAATCCTTTGCTTGCAATGGGATAATAGTACCTAATCACCGTCTGATATTGTGGAGGCATTTCTATCTCACATCAGAACAGTGTTTAATTTGTCTGAACACTATGAATTAGAACAGTTACTAACAAGAGATAGATTTGTTATGACAATAAATGACATAGTATTCTATGTTGACGATGCATGTAATGCGCTGAGATCACTTGAAGTTTAATCTGCCACGGGACAGGGCCAAATTAGTCCCGAGTTCTGAAACATGCCAGAAAAGCGTTAGTGCCTTGGTTATTTAATATATTTTCTTTAATTTTAAAAATATTTCACAATTTTCTGTTAGTTTTGGTCCCCATTGTTTTCTTTACTTATACCGGTATACATCCCTTGTTTTGCCCATTCTTGAATATTGCTCTGTTTTCTGGTCTCCTCATGAAATTGAATTTTGTAATAGACTTGAAAAGATACAGAACGCTGCTACCAGGATCGCTTTTGTCCGTGGAGGTGGCAGGGATGAAGACCGTTCAACTTACTTTGAACGGCTTAGAATCTTTCACATTTCTCCCCTATTAGTCAGTAGGCAGCGTTTCCAGAGATATGTTTGCCCAGGGAACAGTGAAATTCACTTTAATTTCACTGTTCCCTGGTTGGCCTCACACTATTTCCAGCAAAAGTTCTCATCAAATCTTGATAGCCTATTCATTTCATTTTAAATTCCCGCGATCATACCAAGCTGTTTAGGGTCTCTGTTCGTACTTCATTCTACCAACGCTCACTTTATGTTGAGGCTGGAAGGATTTTCCTGTCAACCTCCGTTTAAGTCTGAACGAACATGGTTGTAAAAAAGCGGTTTCACACATTTACAATCTTTATGGAAAAATTAGCTAACAGTGATTTTGTTTCCCTCTCTCTTTTATCTTGTACTGATTGCAGTTTGTTTTACGGTATACCTATCCCGTATTATTGTAATTCTTCCATTTTTTAATTATTCCAATTTTAAACAGTACAGTATTTTAAATTTTGCAGGCGTTTTAATCGCTCCTAATTCTTTTGGTGTTTTGACTGTTCCTGTAAGCCCATTCTTAAACTTTTGTCTGTTACTTCTTTATCTGTTTTATCAATCTTTTTATAGGCTATTTTAATCTGATTTATAGTCTTTGTGCTGTCTTTATTTATTTTATGTTTGTTTGGCCAGGGAGTTCAGAGGACACCCACATCTTGTGTTGGGCTGTCAGCCCATGATGTAATCTTGGCACCTCCCTGGCCATTTACTGATTTGTAATTTCTCTGCCGAATATATAATAAATAAATAAATAAATAGACAGATAGATCTGGGAACAGTGAATGAACAGACAGATAGATAGATAAGTAGATAGATATATATATATATATATAGATGGATAAATAATGTCAGCATACATATATCCCAAAGTATAGGTTGTGACACAAAATCGTCAACATGTAGAGGGTAAACAGCAGAAGAAATTTGTGGAACCCCATGGGCGAGAAAATGTTACAAAGGACGATTCCACCAATAACTACAGATTGTATTCGCTACGGGTTATTGGGAAGCAAATACCCCAGACCCAAGAGAATCTTACTTATTTACTTAAGGGTTCCTCAGTCCACGGTTGAACACATTCCTTTTCTTATCTCCTCCACCTCTTTCTTTCTGATGTTTCTTTAAACTCTCTACCTCTATTTCTGTCTGATGTTTCTTTAAACTCTCCACTTCAATTTCTGTCTTCCTTTTCTTCTTTTACTTCCTCTGGGTTATTTTTTGTCATTCTGTTATCCAACCCGAATTTATTCTTTCGTTTATCTTTTTGTAGGTATGTTCTACATTTTTTGTTTGACTCAAATACTTCTAATGTTTAACTCTCTCTATGTCATCATTTCCTAAATTCAATAATGCATTTGTGTTGAAATTTACTTTGTCTCAACTCTGTGTAGTGCAATACCTACTTTCATGCTTTCTGTATCTACTTTGATTAGTTCTTCTTTTTTTATTGATGATACTGCACTTTTCACCAGTAGAATGTCATCAGCAAACTGGATTTCATTGAGCGTATCCCGATATACCGTATATTTATTTCATTAAGGTCTGCTGCTTCCATCATTCTTTAAAGCGCTGCTGTTAAAATATTTGGCCTGACGGGATCACCTGGTCTGACACTTCTTCTGAATTTGAGGATTTTTGTTATTCTTTTTTTTCAAGAAAACCTTAATCCATAATTATACATTATGCTAATAATTTTAAAAGTATGTTGCATCCACAAGCTTTTTTTAGTCATTACGGCATTATTATTATTATTATTATTATTATTATTATTATTATTATTATTATTATTATGGGTTTTTTTTTATACCAGTAGCATAAAAAGTCATTGTTTTGGTTTAAATTTGTTTAATATGGGTATGTGGGCACTGCATAAACAATCCTGTCTATAGAATGCACAGGTTTATTTTTTTGGAGCCAACATTTTTTTCTCTTTTTTTGTTGTTGCACTGGATCAATGACAAAGGATACAAAAAGTTGATCCAATAAATATTGATCAAGACATCCATTTTAATCATTATTTTTACAATTCAAAAGTCATCACCTTTGTATTCTTATGTGTTAATGTATTAATGCTGTTTAATAAATTCAACTGAAAATGTATGTGTGATTTGTTGTAGGCCTACTTTGTCGTTGAAGATGGAAAACTGTCATGCATTGTTATATGTCATCCTATCTGAAAAACACAACATTCGATCTACTAACATATTACATATAATAGGCACTGCCGTTTCTTCAACATTTGCACATATCAAATCGAATTAATTTAATGTTTATTCACGAAAATGGTAACTCATTTGAAAACAGCTCAAATACACCAAAATAGCATTTTTAATTAAAGGTGGCGGTCATGGTTTTTAACATTTTCCGAACATACCCCTGCACCGCAAAGGTCCACTCAGATTGAAAAAAATCATCCCCCTTATTACCAAAGCTGGTTATGGGCCTGATACCTGGCTTCCTGGCTTACCTTACCCCCTAGTATGTGAACATCTTGATTATTTTTCTTCATGCAACTTATCTTTTAAAAGAAGATAGGTTGCATTATTTTGAAAGCAGTTTCATATCATTTTCATAACCTAACATTATCTAGAAAACAGTAAAATGATATAAAACAGCAACAGTGTAGGAATGGTATAGGAAAATATCTTGTATTCTCTGCATAATTTTCTTTGGAAAACATTTTAGGTATATACCTATATACCATAACACATTTTGGACAGGGGCAGCTAAGGCAAAGTTTTACTGCAACTCATCGAGAACCCGAAAAACTACTGTGCTTGACGGAAATCTATTGTGTTTGTTAACCGACTGTGCCTGAAATCCGACTTGACTTGTGCTTGAAAATCGACTGTGTTTTAAATTTGCCCATTTGGTGTTCCATATAAAACCGCAGAAATAAACGTTGAATGTTGCTCTTTTGGCGTTCTATATACTTACTCCTGCCAGTTATGCCTCCTGGGACATTGAGAGCTTTCCAATCACCCCTGTCTTGGGCCAAGCGCTTTAAGGACTCCCATGAGTGCCTCGAGTCTCTCATCTCTGCTTCATCTGTTCTTCTCCATGTATTTTTAGGCCTACCTCTCTTTCTCTTTCCCTCTGGAGTCCAATGCAAAGATGTGCGTCTGATGTTATCAGGCTCCTTTCTTAGCACATGGCCAAGGC